TGTATCATGCTTTCTTATTTAAAGGAAGTCCAAATGTCTGATTTGCAAGATATAGGAGTAACACATTGACTAATAGCAGCATTGTTTTGTACGTCTCGATATAAGAAGAGTTTTGGTAGGTTTTCTAGAAGTACTCTTGATTCTAGGAGTTGTAATTTTGACAAATCTGGACACACTCTCATCTTCAGTGAGAATTAAAGAGGTTGGCATTCTTTGTTGAAGATTAATTGACTGTAGGTGTGTGGGTTTATTTCTTGGCACTCTGTTTCATTCCATTGGTCCATATGTCTGGTTTTGTATAATACCAACACCATACTGTTTTGATTACTGTAGCTTTGTATTACAGTATTGTCTGAAGTCTAAGAGCATTGTGCCTCCTGCTTTTCTTCCATCAGGATTGCTTTAGTAATTTGGGGTCTTTTATGGTTCCATGTAAGACATTCTTTAGTAGTCATTTAACCAGCTTATTTTTTAAGATTAGCCTCTGTGTGCTTTATTAGGATTTTAAAATTGTGTTGTTTTGAAGTTTGATTACTGTAAACCAAAAGTGCTTAAATATCTTATTTTTCTCACTTTCTTTTCTTTATATTTTTTATGTGAGTATTTGGTATCAATCAAGAATGACTTCTTGGTCAGAAAGATAATTACAATACGATATCACTTATATGTGGAATCTAAAACATGATACAAATGAACTTATTTACAAAACAGAAACAGAATCACAGACATAGAAATCAAACTTACAAGAGGGGAAAGAGGTTTGGGAAGGGATAAAGTAATAGTTTGGGATTAGCAGATGCAAACTATTATATACAAAATATACAACAAGATCCTACTCTATGGCACAGGAAACTATTAATATATTCACTATCCTGTAAAAAACCATAATGGAAAAGAAAATATGACTTTACGAAAGTCATTGTTTTTTTTTTATAGTTTTTCCTATTTTTGAAATTTTTACATTGCAAAAATCACAAGATTTGTGTCTGGTAACTGGATTTATTTTTATTGGCTCTTAAAAAATTTTAAGCCCAAAATTCTCCAAGCCAGGCTTCAATAGTATGTGAACTGAGAACTGTTCAAGCTGGATTTAGAAAAAGCAGAAGAACCAGAGATCAAATTGCCAACATTCTTTGGATTATAGAAAAAGCAAGAGAGTTCCAGAAAAACATCTACTTCTTTTTTATTGACTATGCCAAGGCCTTTGACTGTGTGGATCACAACAAACTATGGAAAATTCTTCAAGAGATGGGAATACCAGACCACCTGACGTACCTCCTCAGAAATCTGTATGCAGGTCAGGAAGCAACAGTTAGAACCAGACATGGAACAACAGTCTGGTTCCATACTGGGAAAGGAGTACGTCAAGGCTATATATTGTCACCCTGTTTATTTAATTTATATGCAGAGTACATCATGGGAAATGCCAGGCTGGATGAAGCACAAGCTGGAATCAAGATTGGCAGGAGAATTATCAATGACCTCAGATATGCAGATGAAAGTGAAGAACTAAAGAGCCTCTTAATGAAAGTGAAAGAGAGTGAAAAAAGCTGGCTTAAAACTCAACATTCAAGAAATGAAGATCATGGTATCCGGTCCCATCACTTCATGGCAAATAGATGGGGACACAATGGAAACAGTGTCAGACTTTATTTTTTTGGGTTCCAAAATCACTGCAGATGGTGACTGCAGCCATGAAATTAAAAGATGCTTGCTTCTTGGAAGAAAAGCTATGACAAACCTAGACAGCATGTTAAAAAGCAGAGGCGTCACTTTGACGACCTTTGTCCATCTAGTCAAAGCTATGGTTTTTCCAGTAGTCATGTATGGATATGAGAGTTGGACTATAAAGAAAGTTGAACCCCGAAGAATTGAAGCTTTTGAACTGTGGTGTTGGAGAAGACTCTTGAGAGTCCCTTGGACTGCAAGGAGATCAAACCAGTCAATCTTAAAGGAAATCAGTTCTGAATATTCATTGGAAAGACTGATGCTGAAGCTGAACCTCTAATACTTTGGCCACCTGATGCAAAGAACTGACTCATTGGAAAAGACTGTGATGCTGGGAAAGGTTGAAGGCAGAAGGAGAAGCGGGTAACAGAGAATGAGATGGTTGGATGGCATCATGGATGAAATGGGTGTTATTTTGAGCAAGCTCCAGGAGTTGGTGATAGGGAAGCCTGGCGTGCTACAGTCCATGGGTTCACAGTTGGACACGACTGAGCAACTGAACTGAAGTAAATAATTAGCAGGGTTGAGCATCTTTTCATATGCTTTTTGTCTGTCTTTATATGTCTTCTTTGGAGAAATGTCTATTCAGGTCCTCTGCCCATTTTTTGTTTGGATTTTGTTGGTTGGTTGGCTGGTTTACTCCTCTCTCTAAGTTTTCTGTTATCTTGGTCTCATCTCCTGATATACCTGATGGTTTTTAATGAATTTTGGATACTGTATATAATATATAGTAGAGACAATTCTAGCTTATTGATAATGTCATTTTTCTCCAAAAAGGATTTACTTTTACTTCTTTCAGTGAGAATCAGATTGAGTTGATTCACTCCTTTGTCTCAGACTTTGTGAGGCTGGCCTCTTCTCCTACATCCCTACTTCTAAGATGTAGTCCTCAGGGTTTCATCTGAAAGTCTTGATCTTCCAGGATTCTTCTTCACCCATGGGCCCTGAACTCCCATTTTTGTCCACCCAGTGCCATAAGACTAGTGGAAGTTCTCGGTAGTTTTACAACCTCTTGGTTAATACTTGATGCTTAATTTTTCAGTGTCTCAGTATCACTTTGGAAACTAACACGTGCCTCAAAGGGAAAAGCAGTTCTAAATGTTAGACTCACCTCTTTGTGCTTTTCTTCAATCTGGGAACTTTGTCCCTCACATCCTCACTGCCTTGGTAACTCTCTAATGTCTTCAGGTAGATTTTTTGGGATGGTGGTACTCTAGTTGTTTTCTGTAAGAGCATCGATTTCAAACAAGCTATTTGCCACTGTTGGAAACTTCCCTGTATTTGAAGTTGAATATTCAGATATTAAAAATACATAGAGCATGCCTTGTTTGCATTACTGTTATCTAGAATGACAGTGGATGAGATGGTTCAATGGCATCACCGACTTGATGGACATGAGTTTGAGCAAGCTCCAGGAGTTGGTGATGGACAGGGAAGCCTGGCGTGCTGCAGTCCAGAGTCAGACACGACTGAGCAACTGAACTGATGACTGATGATATCTAGTACTGATTACATATTATAGGATCCATGCAGTCATAGGATCATTTTTAATATAGAAGTTCACAAATGTCAAAAGTAACACTATTTCATAAAATATTCAGCTGTTCAACCAAGTTTAAAAAATCTACCAGATTGATTTTTTATTTATTCATGATTCATTTCATTTATACATACTTGCATTTCTTATTCTCACCCCCTTTCCTGTTTTCCTACTAGGTGGTTTTGTTCTGGTTAATTTGCAGAAATTCTTTGTGTGTAAGAGATAGGCTCTTTGCCTAAATGTGCTACAGATGTTTATCACCAGCAAATATGGTTTGTATGACTGCTGCATTTTAGGGTATTTTTAAAGGTTGTTTTTTTTGTGTGACCTTTCTATAGTCCTTTTAAAATACCAATATTGCACAAATATTTATGAAGTATCCACATATAATCATAATAATCATAATAATAATGTAATATAATCACATGTAATATACCCACATGCACAGACAAGACCTTATTAATTCAAATCCTTTATATCATACTTTTGGGGGATCAAATTGATTTGCTAGTGGCTAATGATTGTGATTTTACCCTTTCTCATGATAAAGACTGATGTTCTTGGCCTGTTTTACCTTGAACTTGATCTTGTCAAGTGTTAGATGCTGGAGGTTTTATCTTTGTCTCTTTAATTTGGAATTTTACCTTTGCCTCTTTAATTTGGAATTCTTTACTTCTCCCACCCCCCCCCCCCCGCCCTGTTTTAAGTTAGAAGTAAAGAATGGATTCTATGGTTAAATAACCTGAGAGAGATTATATAGGAGGAGGAAGTGGGCCTGTACCTGAGTCTTAAAATATAAATAGGATGTGAATGGGTAAAAGTGTGTGGGTCTTTCAGACAAGGGAGGAGGATTAAAAGAAAAATGAGGATAGGATAGAAAATGAAGTATGTTCAAACTGTGAAAAGAGGCTGACCCTGGAGCAGAAAGTCTGAAGAAATAGGAAGTAAATGTGCATTAATGAGGTAGGACCACATTTTGGAGGATCCTGAAAGCTAGGTAGAGAAATAGTTCTTTGCTTATAAATTGACTGTCCCTAATGCAAATAATCAGGTAAGTACACATTTACAAAATAAGCCTTGTGTCAGGCTCCTGTGCAGAATCATCTGTCAAGCTTGTTTATCTTGATTCATTTTCCTTTATTCCAAGAACTCATGCTCATTCCAGCCATGCATCATGATTCACATTGACTAATCTAAGGCACATCCTTTGGGTTTTATTTTGCATCTGACATTCTAACCAGGTGATTTTTGGAGTGATGGTTGAGGTTGGTACCCTTGCTTCAAAGAGATATTTTAAGTCATCATATTATGGGTCAGTTGAGAATTGCTCTCCTTCAGTTCTAGTTTTCTCCGTCCTTTTCTACTTGCCAACCCCCCAAATCATGCATATCAGTTTCTGTGCATACATTATGCAGAGAGATGAAAATATGCTTAAAATTGGGTAGATAGCCATGTCTGCAGGCAGGACTGTTGTTCCTCAAGTGTGTAGGATGGTGGCTTATTGAGAGTTGAATAAAACAATGAATACAGCTGTCAACAATATTTTCAAGTGCCCCCTACACACAGGTTGCTGTGGAAAGACGTGGACTGGGACCTGCTGTCGAATGGTATCACCCAAGTTTGGGATGGTCAGCTCTTCAGAAATGGCACTTTCCCTTCCAAAGGAAATTTAGAGAACTGAGTGTTCGCCTTTGGCTTTGATGTAAAATTGTATGTTTTTTTCTATTCCCAGGGGACTCCTTCTCACAGTTTCGGTTTGCCGAGGAGAAAGAGTGGGATAGTGAAGCTTCATGCCCCAAACAGGTAAGGTGAAGCTTTGTGTTGAATGTGGGTTGGCTCTTCTCAAGGATAAAGACCAGCATCTTTCACACTGTTGTTTAGACAGAGTCTTCACATAAAGAAGAGTCTAGTACTTCGTGTACAGTTCAGCCTCAGTTACCTAAATTGCTCAGAAAGTTTTCAGGGAGCTTAAATTTTACAAGTTCTTGGAGCTGGAGTTGACCTTCATACCAGCAACTGTGTGAAGTCCTCACACGGTTCATCTGTGACTATAGTTCATACAGACTGGGTTGCAGGGCCAAAGATTATGGTTATGATTTTGAGTGGATTACCTTGCCATTTGGCCTTCCACTTTTTCCCTTTCTGTGAAAATTCCTCTTAGAATTAGTTGAGAATTCGTTTTTTTTCTCCCACAGTGTTTTTGGTATTACGTAAGAGAATCCTTAACTTTGTAGTTTTAAATAACTCTTTTATCTATAATTAGGAGCAGAAAGCTATAAAATAAGAACAAGTATCATAGTCTTTCAATGAATCCATAAAACCCACGCACTTTATTTTCTTTGTATTCCTACCATATTTTCTTTCCAAAGGAGTTTTGATGATTCTCCAAGCAGGATTGCACTGATTCTTTTCATATGAGAGATGACAGGTATTCTCACCCTTTAAAAATGCACAGAGAATGAATGAGTGGTGGTTTGGCATATGCTCCCCAGCCCCAGGACTAGTGCATACTGTCCGATACAGTGATCAGACTGTCTGCCCACAGCTTCAGACAGGAGACCAAGCCGCAGACTTGATGGGTAAGGTGTGGTCCCTTCCTGCCCATTCTGTTGTCAACTCAGTACACACAGTAGGTGACTTGCAATCCTAGGTGTTATGGTGTTATCCCAGGTTATGCTGGTGTTATGTTCAGTTGTTTGGGATGGACGTTGACTTATCAGAAAGACAGAGGGGAGAAAAGTGACTTGTAAAATAACTGCCTGTCACTTTACAAAGAGTACGTATTACAACATAGAAAAAGTTGGAAATTAAAAGTATTTGTTTTTCTTGAGTCTGTTTGGGATGTACCTGAGTATGGTTTAGAGTTGTAGGACAGTTAAAAACAGATAAACGGAAGAATTTAGTGAAAGCCAAACGGCTCGTGTTTCAACTCCTTTGAACCATGTTGGCTAAAAGAGAACATTTTAATTACCTTGAGATTTTCAGATAATTCTAAGGTTTTTCATTCATCAAAACACTGAGCACTTGTTCTTTATTATATATTTTATTAGATGCCCTTTATTCAAAGATGGGAGAAGGCAATGGCAACCCACTCCAGTATTCTTGCCTGGACAATCCCATGGATGGAGGAGCCTGGTAGGCTGCAGTCCATGGGGTCGTGAAGAGTCGGACACGACTGAGCAACTTCACTTTCACTTTCATGCATTGGAGAAGGAAATGGCAACCCACTCCAGTGTTCTTGCCTGGAGAATCCCAGGGATGGCAGAGCCTGGTGGGCTGCCGTCTATGGGGTCGCAGAGTCGGACGTGACTGAAGTGATTTAGCAGCAGCGGCGGCAGCATTCAAAGATGAATGAGACAAAGCTCATGCTTGTTCATCACCCTAGGCCCTTTGCCTTAGCATAGTGGTAGATGACATGTGGTAGATGATCACTAAATGTTTAGATGATAAATGAAAAAGAATGCAACATAAGATAATTGGTATAATAAGTGAACATAATATGGTAGGAGAAATCTGCTTTGGACTGGCAGTGACTGAGAGTAGGAGCGTGGGGTGCAGTTCATTTGAATGGGCCCTGGTGGACAAGTGTGGTTCTGGCGGGTCCTCTCTGGGGAACAACAGGAGAATGATGAGATCTGAAAGACCAGGCTGTGCTCGGAGTTGGGAGCATAGCTGGACTGTGGTACTCTCAGAAGAGGCGGCTTCCAGGGTAGGTCTAGGCCACTTAGTACCAGCAGTTTTGTCTTCATTTTCATCTGGGGCAGTTTAGCATGTGGGTGAGAGCATAGCCTTCAGAGACACAATCCTGAGTGTAAATCCTAGTTCTCATCTGTAAGATGGAACTAATCATTAAGTATAGCTCAGAGTTGTCATGAGGATTAGATTGGGTTATAAATAAAAGTTTTGTGCAGTTCCTGACACATAGGAAACACCCAAAATTAGCCTTTATTGCTACTGTTACTTGTTCACAAGAGTATTGTTCAGCAAGAAAATGGAAATGGCTAGACTGGACCTCCACAGTTTTGGGAAGGAGGGACTGAAGAGGTCAGAGGTTGGAGGAGGAAAAGCAGTGGGAAGATACTGTGTTGGTTCACGGGAGGGGATGTGGGCTGACAGCGTGGGGCCGTGGCAGGGAAGACAGTTCACTGATGGATGAGCCAGCGTGGAGGACGACGGAGAATATGTCACGGGCCAGACAGGAGACATAAGGACAAGAAAGATTTGCAGGGGCTCTCAGCTCCCCAGCACGATGACGAGGTGAGCAGTGACAACTCATGGAGCAAAAGAAGGCAGTCTTGACCGTGAGTGTGTTGAGTTGAAGTATTAGTAGGACATATCCCAAAGTGAATTCATCACTTCGCCATCAGAACTGCTCTGTGTCCCACTTCACTCCTCATTTGGTTCTGTTTATTTTTGCTTGCTTGAGAGAGAAAAAGAAGAGGAGAATCTGTCTACGTATCTGTCTACTACCTATCTGTCCGCCTCCCTCCCTCCCTGTCTGTCTGTCCGTCTGTCTGTCTGTTCCTCATGTGCTTCCGTGTCCCCAGTGCAGCTGGTGACATGAGGAAGCAGAGTTGCAGCGGGTCCTGGTGCAGCCAGGACGGGAGGCGCCCGGCACCGCGGCTGTGACTGGCCTTCACAAGCCTGTGGCTCGTGTGCGGGGTGAAGGGGCTGTGGCCTGGCAGGCAGGGTCCCTGCTGCCGCCGTGTTGGCCCCGTTTCTTCAGGGGAGTTGGTCCCTCCGATCCCTGAGTGAGGTTTTCGGACCTGTTCTTTGGACAGTGTGGGAACATGGGAAGAGGGAATGTGAGGTGGGAGGAGAACTTTGTAGGGTGAAAAAAATAGGCCCATTATTTTTTTTTAAATCATCTGAGGCTTTTTTTTTCTTTTCATTTTACTTTTCAGTTTTGTTGACTAGTGACTTGTTTATTCCATAGCGCTTCCTCAAGCAGCAGCAAGCACTGGGTGACGTGTGGTGGTTCCCGAACAACTGGCTCCTAATGGCGTATATGCCCTCCCTCACTTCCCCCCAAGAGTGCAGTTCTGGATGGGACTCTGTACATGGAAGGCATCCCAGCTTACTCCTAAGTGTTGCTTGATTTGGGCACTTCCGCTGTAAAGTGGCCCCGAGTCCCCAGATGTGGACAATGAGTTCTGTAGCTACCGAGGAAGGTATAATGGTCTGATTAGAGGCTGTAAGTGGAGTTTTAGCAGGTTCTTTCCTCACCAGATGGTCTTTATACAGACACCAAGACTAGGAGTCTGATCAAGTTCCTAGACAGGGAGGAACCTTTGGGAATAGATTCTCACCATCCAGACCGAGTTCTGTGCACACTATGGCAGAGTTGTGGGGTGGAGGGACCTCATTCTAACAGTCAAGGCTGGCTGTGCCCTCCCAGCCTCCACGTCTGCAGAAGAGGAGGCACCAGGTGGCCAGGCTTCACACACGCTCCAACTGTGAGTGGGTATAGAGTTGGCCAGGTAGGTGTGGAAGCTGGGCGCTCCAGGCAAAGTTAACCCACCAATTACTTTACAACATGGAGTCCAAAAAAGCTAACTCATGGTGGTTATTCCAATCAAACTTGTTTTCAAATTCATACTTTATTATTACAAGGGATTCACTACAGCTCCCTTTATGTCAGAAGGCATTCAGCTTTAGCTCTTTAGGGGACAAACTGGTGACAAAAAAAGGGAAAGTCTTACACAGTGGTGTATGATGATGGCAGATTCTAGGCTCTGAGACTCCTACAGGGAGACCAGGAGAAAGCACTGTGCTGGGCTGAAGTGTCATGAGCCTTATGGAGACGGTACCCTGTCACCTGGGCTTGGACGGGGGGTGGGAATTAAAGATGTGGGGGTCGGAGCAGCCAAAGGTCCGTCATTCAGGACTCAGCACACAAGCACAGCCTGGTCGTTCCTCGCATCTCACAGACTCTTCCTTGTTAACAACATACCTGTAGTGTGTTGCACTTGATGTGAACGTGGGGAGGAAGTTTGAGCACTTGTAGCTGGACCGCAGCACGTCTCCCTGGCCCTCCTCTGGAGACCTGAGAGTGGTTAGCAGCTCTGAGTAGTTGGCAGGCATGGTGGGGGGAGCAGGGGGTCTACACGTGGGGTCTTTGCAGACACCTCAGCAGTGGGAAGGGTGAGACTTCCATTTTGTAATGAGGTAATTTACTCATGTGTTACAGATTCAGGACCACATTTTTCTAGTGGTCTCAGAGATTTTCTTCAAACTTCAAAACAAAGGCTGGCCGTGCTGGCCCTAATGAAGCACTGGGCGTGCTGAGTGCAGGACTGAGGCAGGGCTTGTGTGTGGACTGAATTTCCTGCTCTCCTGCCAGGGCTTTCTTTTCCTCCATCCTGTTCCCTAAATACTCTCTATTTTTAGATGTAAGTTTTTTTTTTTTCCCCCAGGGCAAGGGGCCACATCTGATGCTGCCAACATTGCTCCCCTAAGAGCTAGCCATCTCCAGAAACTTTCAAAAGGGCAGCTGAAAAGCCATATTGCATTTTTCGATCCCTGTGTACTTCTGTTGTGAGGCTCAGGAGTTTGAGTGGGTCTGGATTTAGTGCTGGGGCTCTACTTGAGAACTCCAGGAATGACTCGCCACCTCCAGTCATCATAAACCCATCTACCCAAGACATCCTTATAGTGGATCTGAGACTCCATGACCCCTGGGTTTTCTTCTCTAACTTGAAGTCCATGATCATAGCAGAAGGCACAGTTCTACCTAGACCTGTGACAGTCCTTGGTGGATGAGGTGGTTGGTGGTATCTGACTCTAATGTGGTGATTTCACCCACCTTTTAGTTTTTCCGTTCTCATGGCCAGGGTACCTAGAAGCAGCTGTTAGGGGTCATGAGATAATCTGGAATGCCTTCTCAAATACAGTCAATCTGTGAAGGCATTGCCTGGATGGCACTTTGCGCCTGTGAATGGGAATGGAGTCCCAGGGAGTTTTAGTGTTGGCCTCACACACAGAGCTGCCAGCTGGAGGGTAAGTTTCCACCCCAGATTTCTGGTTGGAAGGGAAGTGTATGCACAACTCCGGCTGTGCCTGTCAGCCCCAAATCACTGCCGAGACAGCTCTCCACTGCGCTCCCAAAGGCCAGCCATCTGAATATGGAGGAGGTGTCCCATTATGTTTCATTAAATGCTTTGAATTTTCTCTGTAATTCCAAGAACGTCCACAGTTTCCAGGTTACCATGCGGTCTTTTTTTTTTTTTCCCTTTGGCCATGCAGTGCAGCCTGTAGGATCTTAGTTCCCTGACCAGGGATCAAACCCATGCCGCCACCCACCCAACCCTTGCCCTGCCCCGCCCATTGGAAGCACAGAGTCCTAACTATTGGACCACTGGGGAATTCCCATTCCGTACAGTCTAGATTCGAGTGATTGCTACCCTGCTGCTACTCTGACCACCTGAGCTGTGGTTCAAGAAGGTGGTTTTGGTTTTGCTTATCTTCATGCAGAGATGATAGAACCATATCAGGTGTGATTTATGATTGTATTACTCCCAGCTAAAAGTCATGGATGATTTATTTATAGTTACTACTATCATCTTGTGCCCTTTTATTTCTGAAAGTTCATATGTAATCATCTTGATTGATCAATTTCTCTGTTTTCTATAGAATTCAGCATTTTATGTGGACTGTGAGTCACTGGTTCGAGCCCTTCAAGAATTGCCTCTCTCACTCCGACTCAATGTTGCTGCTGAATTGGTTCAGGTAGGAACCCTGATGGCATCTTGAGGCTGGTGTAAATTAGGGCAGGAGAAGCAAACTGAAAAATACCTCCCTGCAGGATGTCTCAGAATCAGCTTTTCCTTCCAACAGGCTGAGGGTTTTGTATCAGGTAGAATTTTGTAAAGTTTTGAGGGAGAACGAAATACTTTTCAAAGTTTTTATCTTGTTTTATTGATATATTTGGAACATTTTAAAGGATAAAATGTAATGGAATTGAATGAAATGTGAAAGTACAGAGTCTGGCTTGTGTTTTACCCAAAATGTTTATGTGCCAGGCTCTGTGTTAGGCACTCAGGTTACAGTGGTGAATAGACAGACATGGTTCTTGCTCTTATGGAGCTTAATCTGTTGGGAAAGACGGGTATTAATCAAGTTACCAAATTGCACTAAGTCCTGTGAAGGATAAGCACCATGTGCTATGAGAGTATGTAATAATGAACCTGATCTACTTTGGTATGATGTTAGGAATGACTTTTCTGAAGAAGTTACAGGTAAACTGAGAGCCAAAGTATAGGAACACTTGAGTTGAGATTTAAAGAAGGGTAACCCAATCAGATCTGTAATAGCAGTGCTAGTAATAATGACAACAATAATAAACAATATTCTGGCTGCAGAATGGAGAGAAGACTGTGAGATTGGGGTGGGTGTGTCGGGGAAGTCTGCACATGCACACCCATGCAAGAGTAGTGTGGATGAGGAGAGGCAAAGTGAGTGGCTCTTGCATGGTTCAGCTGAGTGATGCTGTAGCCTGGACCAGCAGCGGTGGGGAACTGGACTTTCCCAAGAACTGAACTACAAAAGGAAAATTACTAGGCCTTGGTGAAATACTGGCAGTGGAGCAGGAGCAGGCAAAGAATTCTCGGTGTTCCAGCTTGTGCAACCCAGTGGTAGCTAGTATCAGCAAGGCTTGGACAGTATGAGTTTGTTCTGAGGTTTCAAAGTGAAAATAATAGTAAATCGAATGTAGAAATTTATAGTTCAGAATTAAGGGCTAGAAATATAAATTTGGGGGTTACAACCAGTGTAGTGTAAGAGGAGCCACTGAATGGGATAAAAGAGGAAGGGTCCAATGTTAAACCAGAAGGAACTTAGAAATTTCTTTGAGACTTGACTGGATTTTTTTTTTTTTAAGTGAAACCCTGGGCAGTACTAAATAGAATCCGAGCAACTAAAATGATCAGTTTTGTTCTACAGGTGAACATGATGCCAAGCTTAAAGATCACCATGAACTGGTTACCCATCCAATTGCTGTTTCTATGCCACTTAACTTGCCTCAAATGTAGGGCAAGTAGAATTCAGGGCTGGGGGACACTTCGGGGCTGAGAAGTAGAAAGACTGGCATTTGCCTCTGATGGGGAATCACCCTGGGGCTTCTTTAGGCATGTTTGGGGTTGTCTTAATGATAGGGCAAGTATTATTTTTCTTCTGGGTGTCCAGAGATGGTTAGAGTTCAGACATACTTGGTTTGGTCCCACACAATGAGGAATGGTTAACAGGACCTCATTGGGGTGAAGGTGATGGGGACCCCAGAACTGAGGAGAGAAAACGGGGGGAAGTGTTATGAGAAATCCAAAGTGAAGGATGGCAGGCCTTAGGAGGAAAGATATAAAGTAATTACAGGAACTTTGAAAACTTGGCTAAATAGTTTTAAAATACCATCCCTTCCCCATTATGTAGAGCAGTTATTCTCAACTGTGTTTGTACCTTACTCACCTGGGGAGTGAACAAACAGACAAAAATAATGCCGGACAGCCAATCCAGACCATCTGAGTGATTACCAGATTAGAACAGGGGCCCGCATCCCAGCTTCACCCTGCATACTGACAGTGCTGGGTGAGTGTTGAAGTTCGTGTGTCAGGCTCTCCTGTCTTAAAAGCCCTGAGGAGTTAATAGCAAACTGGATCTGCTCAGGATGCTTAAATGTATAAGTAAGGGGACAGTGGCTCCAAGAGCAGCTGAACCTCCTTCTGAACCTACCCGACTGCTGCCAGGCTGGTCACCCCGGTCCTCCCTCCAGAGCTGTGGTTCTCAGTCGTCTTCTACATTAGTCACCTGGGGGGAGGGTCTAACTATTAAATTACAACATGTAGCAAAGTGCACATGTAAATCTTTATAACCATGGAATCACCATCTAGATCAAGAATCAGAATATTGCCACCACCCAGAATCACCCCCGCCACCCAGCCCTGACCCAAAGCAGTACTTCCCTAAAACCACTATCCTGACTCCTAATATTCAAGAGTTAGTTTTGCCTGTTCAGGGAGTTTTTACAAATGTAATCAGATAGAATGTTTTCTTTACTGTCTGGCAATTTTTATTCACGAATGACCGTTAGTAACATTATTTTTCTTCTTAGTGAATTTGTCCCTTCACCTCTGTATTTGTGCATTTTAGTACGAAGAACAGATCTGATTTACTTATTACTCCTCAGTGCCTTTTACAGACGTCTGCCTCGTCACAGGCTTAAGTGTGTATTCACATAGACCTGTGGCTCTGTCTGATCTCAGGCCAGTGATGGGAATGCATGGGGCTTTTGATTTCAGCTCTGGTTAGCACAAGGCTGGGGTGAACATAGTGGGGAGGTGTCCCACATTTACCCCTATTAATTAGAAGGGGTGCTGGGGCAAGCCTGGATGGAGACACTTTGTGACCTTCCTGCCTGAACTGAATTTCCTACTCCACAAAGTCTGATGGCTTCCTCTGCTTTAGTTCCTGCTTAAGCAAATAGGGCAGGGCTCACAGTTTTAACTCAGATATTGTGCTTCTCTTTCAGACTGCCCTTCCCTTAGAGCTCCCTCAGGTGAAACCAAAGAGAAATAATAATGCCAAGGCACTAGGGATGCAGCTAAAGGGGCCCTCAGGCCCTGGAGGAAAGGGGTCCCCCTCTGAGATGAAATCCACCACCGCTGGCTTCCCCATGTACCCGGGTAAAGACGGCCCAGGATCGGGTCCTTCCAAGGGTTCTCAGAACCCCACTTCCCTGCTGCAGTTGGCAGCAGATCATTTGGAAGAAGAGCTAGATCTGCTGCTTAATTTAGATGCGCCTGTGAAAGAGGGAGGTGGCATCTTCTCAGACCAGACAGCTCAGGACCTGGAATCCGAGAAAGGTGGGGAGGTGGTCCAAGAAGCAGCAGGTATGGTTTTCATTTTATTCCCCACCCATCTTCTTGATTCTGGTGTTTTTCTGAGAATAGCTTCACCTCCATCACATCCCCACACATCTTCATCGGTGTCTGCCATCGATCTGGCCTCATTCACTGACATCTATTTCTGTGCTCACATCTCCGCTTCCCCCTGAGCTGACCTTTCTGACAACATCGTTCTCACTCGATAATACTGGCCTTCCAAAGCTGCTACCTGCTTGATTGCAATCTTAAACCTGGGGCTACAAATTGAACTCATGCTATAAAAGGCATTTAGAGCCTTGTGGCCTCAGCTGTGCAACAGCAGACCTTTTAATCGACTGTCTGAACGGGCCTGGGGACCAAGTCTGTATGCTTCTTGTCTGCTATTCCGCTTTTGTTTAAAAAGGAGGAGAGTTCCTCACATGCCCGTTCTGTGAGATGGTGGCCCATCTGACAGGGAGAGGAGGCCTAGTGACTGCCCCGTCCATACACTGCCCTCAGGACCCTCTGATGACTTTCCAGGATCACTGCTTAGTAAAAAGGAGACAGAGCTATCGGTCTTTAAAACAAAAAAAAAAGAAAACCTCATGAACTGTGAGATTCACCATTGAAATAAATAGAAGAGCAAATCTACCCCATTTATGAATTTGTTTAGGTATTATTGGATCTTCTTAGGGAGTAGGCACAATAACACAACGTTTCCTCTTATGGGGGTGGGGGGTGGAGGGTGGGGAGTAACAACTTGGTTGATTTCTTGCATGGATCAAACCCCAGGGAGGCATTAACCCTCAATTCTGAGACTAATGTGAAGTTATTAACATTGCGTTTCTTTTCTTAGAACCTGCAAACCCATCTGTGTTGGAAGAAAAGAACGTGGCCTCGGGCCAACCAAGTATATCCAGAAATGTTACCGAGGAAGAGCTTGAAGACTGGTTGGACAGCATGATTTCCTAATGACAAGGAAAGAAAGGAAAAGAGAGAGAGGGAAAAGAAAATGAAAACTGCCTGAAGACAATTTTTGTTGCCTTGTAAGGGTGCGCAGGCCCAAGGCTGTCCTAGAACAGCTGGTTTACAAGCACGGCCCAAGCCCACGTGGCCATCACGCTTATTAGTGCAGTAGATGCCTTCCTCCATGTTCAACAACATCTGAAATAGACATTTAAGAGGCTCGCTACATTTGTTCTCTGGCTTAGTAACTGAATAGATGCCTTAAGGGCAAGAGATGTTTCCACCCTTATTTCCAGTTTCTTCCTCTGTTTACAGCATAGCAGGTGCTGCTGATGAAGAGAAGAGAGTTAAGCAACCGGCATGCATTTGGCCAAAATAAAGACACACTGGTCTGTAGATTGTTTTTCTTTCTTTCTTGTGTGGGGGGCTTTGGGCTATTTGTTACTCCCATGTCCCTTCCCCTGCAGTCAAAGGGTGGTTGGGAATCATCAGAAGGTGGTTCATTACAAGAGGCCAAGCCATGGAGTGGTGTGTATGACTTTATTGCAGTGGGCACTTCATGTTACTTAAGGAGATTCACCTAAACAGAGCAGCTCCACTACTTACAAGGGACCATAAAGCGTTGCTCAATTTGGCTTAAGGTTGAGATTTTTTTTTGAATTTTCAGTACAGTACTTCTAATAACAGCAATTGATAAGCTGTTACTGAAAAACAAAAATCTTATGAATAACTTTTCAAGTGCAGTTCATAAAGTAAGAGAAGATCAACACAACTAATTAATGGAACTGTCCATCTTGAACATAAACATAAAAAACTTGCATAGCTATATCTAAAGAGGTTTTTAAGGCACTTAATCGATATTTCAGTGTCGACAAAGTGGTGGTTTTTTGTTTTTGTTTTCTATTTCTTTAAGTGCTTAAAGCTTTTCAAGCTGATTCTGGATACATTCACTAGCAAGTACCATGGGAAAAATTAGACTGCAGTTAAAATGATTTTTTTTTTTGTAGCTCAGACCATGAATCACTAGTGGGCTACTGTCACGTGGCATTCAAGTGTTTAAAATTCCAGGTATTATGCATCTAAAACTTCCTACATCTCCAGCCCTTCCCTCAGTGACGTCATCCCCACACACTAGTTAGAACTGAAAAATGTGAAGACTTTCCACTAGAGCTTCTTTGATGCTGTGCCATCCTTTTTGACGGATCATCTCCCACCATGTAAGTCCATTAAGTACAAAAATCCAAGTCAATTCCGAAATATCACAAGTATGTAATGAACTCTTCATTGTACGGTAGGCCTTTAGGAAACGGCATTTTTCCAATGTGTTGCAGAATTGTAAGAGAAGGATTTTATTGACCATCCAGAATATGGTGGAGGCGTCTTTCATTCCCATTTATCCAAGCTGGTCTTCGTATTGTTTCCGGAAGCAGTCACCAGCTGGGAAGAAATCCCAGCACCTTTCTTGGTACATCTTCCAGACGTAAGATTCCTGAAATAGTGAGAACCAACCATAGTAAGCTGAAACCCAATTTATTTTCCATCTCTGTCTCCCTTTGGGAATATTGATGTGGATGAGGTCCAACTGGCACGTTCTTCCTTGCTCTGTTTTCAGCCACCGCCCGGCTCCCCCCAGGCTATTTTGGGAGCAAGAAGTAATTTCTCCCTTTTCCTGACCACCCCCCCCCCCGCCCCGGCCCCAACCATCCCAAACAAAAAACCCCCAGTGAAACCAACTCAGTGATTGCCACTAAAAATACTTGAAGATTTAGCAGTGAGTTGATTCCGCATCATTTGTAATTGGGAGGAGGCAGAATGGATGAGGAGAGAGCAGTGAGTGCCCACTGAGGCAGGGGCCAGGAGAACCAAGGCTAGATACAGATGCCAATTGCCTTTAAGTGTCTGAGCCATGAAGTTTTCCTACAAAGCCAGTGATGTTTGAATATTCCGTAACCTACCTCTTCCTCCCCTGTTCTCTGCCTTTATGTTTCTTGTTCATACTTAGTCACAGAATCCCTCTGACACACACACTGTCACAGCCACCCCTCCGCGTCCCTGCGTCACCCACATAGGAGGTCGTTATCTTCCTCGCGCTGTCTCTCCCACCCTTTTACTCTGACGCTCCTGCTCTCTGCGGCACCGCCCACTCGGCCTCACATCGTCTTTTTCTCTGTCACCGTTCTCCCCACCTCCAGTGACTCTGCTCATCCCCACCTCCAGTGACTGTGCTCAGAAGCAGCAACCTTAAGGGCTTAGCAAACGCCAGTGTGTGCTGGGAAGGATAACCAGGGGGCCTTGTGCAACAGATGGGAGTTCGCCTTAAAATTTGACTTCGTAATTCACAAGAGATGGTTCACAATGCAGGAAGCAGTGGGGAAATACATGGAAGAGATGGATGGGGTCATTTCTCTACTGAGTTTTGACTTAGGAAGGGGAAGCTCTAACACTGGGGTGTGATTTTATTAGATATTTCTCACCTGTCCCGTGTGCTCTGTCTCATCTTTATTAATCAAATACATGAGGAAGAACCTGGAACAAGGAAAAAAGCTTTAACAACCGAGAGAAAGACAGTATTAGATACTTTGGTTAGAAAACTAAAGTTCATTTACTCAAGTGAACTGGGGAGAGGATCAAATATATTGTTGAGCATCACGTTGACCACTGTATCTTTCAGAATTGGGGAAATGTGGTGTGACAACATACACCATTATTTTCTAATAATAATATACATAAATCTCAAAATGAGCCTTTCTGTGAAAAGAGGCCCTTTAACGGGTGGCTCAGACGGTAAAGCGTCTGCCTACAATGCAGGAAACCTGGGTTCGATCCCTGGGTTGTGAAGATCCCCTGGAGAAGGAAATGGCAACCTACTCCAGTACTCTTGCCTGGAAAATCCTGTGGACGGAGGAGGATAGGCTACAGTCCATGGGGTCGCAAAGAGTCGGACACAACTGAATGACTTCACACTTTACTATCACCAAACCTTGAGCCAGGATCACTTCTGAGGAAGCATTATAGCTACCATTTTATTGTTTTTTTAAAAATCCTAATATAAACAATAAAATGGTAGCCGAAACTCTAACCATATAATTTTTAGTTGGCCAGTTTATCCTCTTATAGGAATGCAGAATTGAAATCATGTGTATCTCAAAGATATGTCACAGAAAAGTACTGAGTCTCACTCAGTTGCCCTGATTTTTTCAGAAGTGTTGTTTTGTTGTTGTTGTTTTTCCAGGCAATGGGGGTAGGCCAGTGTAGTTTTACTTGCTCTAACCAGGAGGCTTGTGTCTAAGGTTTGAGTATGTCTGGAACACAGAATCATGGGAGGCTAGGGCCTGCCTCTCAGCTCACATTTATGCAATCTCAGAGGCAGCATCCAAGGGAATCGGCCTATGCCCATCAGGAAAATGACCGTGAGGCTGATGAAAGGAAGAGAAAGTGTAAATAGCATCCTTGGGAGGGTGAGGAGAGCTTAAACCCCAGATTGAGTTCTCCCAGGATATTCTTAGGTTTACAGTCTCAGATTGTGGCCCACAGTGAAGCAATAACTACATTCCTTCCTTCCTTTTATCAGACTAAGAAAGGAAACGTAACCAGTATCTTGTCATATAGGACATTATTGCTTTCCTAGCACATTTAATTCACAAAGCACAATTTTCAGGGGCGGGGGGAAGTTTTAAACATGAATAAGACTGGTTCTCTCCCCTCAAGCTTACTAGTGGAGGGGCACAGAGAAAATACACTCTTATGTACACAGTGCCATGGGAAGTACCTTCAAGAGTCCCAACTGTTTATCCACGGGCCTGAGATGAGCCACAGGCCCACCTTTTCTAGAGGTACGTCCATCCTGATCACCTCCATGAGGATGCAAACAACAATGAACACTCATGGTTTGAGGAAAGGTATGCCCAAGTGATTTTTTTTTTAAACCTGTGTTTTTGTCTTAAACTCATTTTAGCAAAAAGACATTGTTACTTCTCTTTGACAATAACCTCCCTCAGTTGCAAGGCCCATTCCATCCTAAAGAAAGATTAGAATTTTCTAAACAATACAGGGTAGACACAGAGGGGAAGGGCCAGGCCGGTTAGCAGAGCCCAGCAGTTTCTTTTCTTGAAAGTGATGATCACTTACAGAATCTGAATTGTCAGGTGATGTACATTCCCTGCAAATTCTGTAAGTTTCCTAGGCAGTCTGTGGCACACAACAGACTCTGAATACCTTCTGCCCGAATGAGATATTTATTATTTACCTACTGGGTGCCAGGCCTCAGGTGCTGGGATACAGCAATGTGAAAACACACACATCTTAAAGAAAGCCAGCCTGGAAATTAACCCTGGAATCCAGCATCGTGCAGGTCAGGGGCCGCCTTGACAAGAGCAAATAGGAATTGGTGGGGAGGAAGGCCAACTGCAGGGGAGAGTGAGTGAGTTATGGTGAGAGAGAGAAATTGGAGACTGTGAACAGGCACACTTTTCCAAAAGTGGGGCCATTGCTGTTTTTCTTTGTTTAGGATTAGAAAATATTATAAGGTGCCAGGAAAAGTCCCCAAGAGAAAACCTGCTGGAGGTAAAAGGACCTTGGGAAAGGATGAGATCTAATTCCAGGTGGAGAAAGCGGAAACACGTCTGCACACATCTGGGAAGACAGGAGAGGCAGGGTATATGGCAAAGATACGGCTCATGGGGACTCCTGCAAGTTCTTTCCTAATTGCTCCTGCTTTCCAGAGACCAAGGAGGAAAAGACAGTAGCAGAGCGCACTGCAGCTAACTCACTGTTCTTCCCCCAACCCTGTCCCCCGCCCTGACCGAGGATACTCACAGGTAGTTGGCTAGGTTGTGCTCTTGCAGGGTGTGTGTTTCGAAACCATGCGGGGTCGTGTCAAAGTAGTCGTTGCCAATCCCACAGATGAAACATTTAGTCTGAGAAAAACAGCAGAGAAGTGAGGAGGCATGACGTTACAGGCAGCTGGAAAAAGGGTGGTGATCTCGGACTGAATTGAGAGATACTGC